GCAGCAGTCTGTATGGATCAACGAGCCAGGAGGATGCTGGCGAGCGTTAGATTAGAGCCTATTCACAAGAAGAAAGTAGAGAAAATTGAGGCAGTGGTTGCATTTACAAGTGCACAGCAGGCACCGTATTTCAAAACAGGATTCAGCTTAACTTGTTGAAACTGGAAGGGGCTCTTTGACTTTTCGCAAAGATGAAATGCAACTTTCAGGAAATGTGCTCCTTCTGAAAAATGCGCTCTTTCACATTCATGGATGACTTTGAGCACAGCCGGTAACAAATCATTAGATGCCTCTCTGGCTAACGCCATGGCTTGTACATGCTTTGCAACTGTGTAAAGCTGCAAAAAATAACTGCTGCAGTAATAAATGAGTGCGACTTTTCTCAGGTGGGGTATCTGGGAAGTACATCCTTTCACCCATGCCTATGCATAGTGCCTCTCATCACTTCCTTGAAAACAGAATTTTGTGTGGTATTGAGAGAAAGCTCATGCTTTATCCCCTGGGGGGGGGTTGTGGGGGAAGCATGGTTTGTGTTAACAACTTTGGTGACCTGAGTCTAAGCTTGTTTACGCAGAAGAAAGTTCTGCTGCCTCCAACGGGGCCTATTCATGAGCCAGCGTGCTCAAGATTTTAATCTTGGCGTGCAAAAAGCATGATGACTTTTCCAAGCAATTTTGCATTGTGAGAATGTCATCTTGTGTCTACAGGTGATCGAATCGTTATTTAATATGTGAAAACCTCAAAATACTGATGCCCTTACAGCGCCTGGCTGCAGAGTTTTGTTCCACCATGCGTCATGAGGCAATGCCATCATTTTCTTTTCAACACTGGAATCCGGAGGCATTCCGGTCTGGGTTTTTCTTGTTCTGCATGCTTACTATGAGCTGGCCAAACAACCATGTACTATTCTTTCAGGAATACCTTGCAACCTGGTTCAGACAACCATGTACATTCACAGTGGAATCACAGTGGCAGCCCCAGCCCCCAATGGATTGAGGGTGACTTTGACAAGACAGAAATACTGTTTGGGTGGCAGGTATGGGGGACTCCTTGGTTCTGATGGGGTAACTGTTCCCCTGAAGGACCAGGTGCGCAACCTGGGAGTCATTTTAGACCCAGAGCTGTCCAGGCAGGCGAAGGTCAATTCTATGTCCACAGAAGCTGTCTACCAGTTCCAAGGAAGCTTTCTACCAGCCTGCCTGCAGACTGTTTCATCAGAGGGGTGCATGCTCTGGTTATCTCCCGCTTGCACTACTGCAATGTGCAATGTCCTTTGAAGGTGGCCCGGAAACTACAATTAATCCAGAATGTGTCAGCTAGACTGGTAACTAGGAGTGACTGCCAGGACCATATAACACTGGTCCTAAAGGATCTTCACTGGCTCCTAGTACGTTTCTGAGCACAATTCAAATAGTTGCTGCTGACCTTTTCAGCCCTCAGGCTAGTATACCTGAAAGCATGTCTCCACCACCATCATTCAGCTTGGACACTGAGGTCCAGCTCCAAGGGTCTTCTGGCAGTTCCTCACTGTGAGAAGTGAAGTTACAGCAAACCAGGCAGAGGGCCTTCTCGTCAGTGGTGTCCACCCTGTGGAACACCCTCCCATCAGATGTCAAGGAGATAAAGAACTACACTACTTTTAGAAGACATCCGAAGGCAGCCCGGTATCGGGAAATTTTTAATGTTGGACGTTTTATTATGCTTTTTATATGTGCTAGAAGCCACCCAACCTTCAGAAGACGTCCGAAGGCAGCCCTGGACAGAGAGGGCTGTCTGAGTATGTGTAAAACTAGCTTACTGCTCCAATTTACATTCATTTTCCTGTCCACTTTTCCTGTCCCGGAAGAGAATGTGGACCTCAAGCTGAAAAAGATTCCCCACTCCTGAAGAAAGTGTTGAAAGTCAATTGCAATCCTGTGTGTAGCTTACAACTAAGAGCCCCTCATCTGGAAGCAGACCTTGTCTCTAACCTTCTCCTTGCTATAGTGACAAATTCCCCAATTTAGTATCCGCTCTGGATTTTTTTTGGGTGTCATGCTAGGAAATGAGAACAAATGTCATCGCTGGCCTATCCATTTGTGTACACTTTGTCTCTAACCTTCATAAGAGTACGGTGGCATAATGGGTATAAAATCCCCCTTTATCACTGTAAGAAAACCAAGGTACTATCAAAATCAAAAGAGATGCTTTTTCAGTTCCGGCAGAAAAACAAACAACAAAATTCCAGTGCTGCAACTAGTGCTCTTCCTTTTACCAAATATAGGACTATCGCACAGAATGAATAACAAGACACTACTAACAAGCATATTTCACAGTCTCTGCGCCGTTCCGTCTACTATCTAGTCAAACTGATGTTTGCTTTCCCCAGAGTAACGCACAGCTAGCTTCAGCCAGCTTGAAGCAGTTCTGCTGTAATTATTTTAAACTCTGCTTTGTTTTGCATGTAGGATTCTGGCTGACCCAGCTGGGAAATAATTAAGTATATTGTCTACAGCTACAAGTTAAAATTTAGTTTCTTAATGTAAAGCAGTGCTCAAATGGACAGGGAAACAGTAAAAAAGCTGGGGGATGGATGGGACGCCTTGTTCCCTTCCGTCTGTCTCCTGTGCTTTCATTTCCCCCCTCCAGCACTCGTAATGCATTGAAAATGACAGTAGATGAATTACCCTTGCATCTGTTGGAGCCAAACTAAGGCTGAAATCCTAACCCCACCTGTTTGGGCACGAGCCCCACTGAATTAAATAAGACTTACTTTTTAGAGGACATGGTTAGGATTGTAAGTGCATAGTTCCCACTGAAATCAATGGGGCTGAAGTCAGGATTCCCCATCTACCTTTGAATGGGAACTAAATTATACTGATTGGCAGAGAAAACCAAAGGGGTATATGGGGAAGGGAAGTGGCAGATTGTCTGTCATGCTAACCAGGATGGAAAGTGTGGATTTTCTTATTTGCCCTTGCAGATCTCATTTTTAAAATTTCACACCCACTGAAGCTAATAAATTAACTATGACAGCTACAATTGATGTAGGTGATAAGCCCAATCTTGGGGCCTGTTGGAGAGATGAAGAAGCTTTAAACCCCTTGGGTCCAAGGCCACTTCTGCCCTCCCTTCAATCAACCCTCAGAATGCTCTGTTCGGGTGTCTCATATCACACTAAAGGTAAAGGTAAAGGGACCCCTGACCGTTAGGTCCAGTGTAGCCGACTCTGCGGTTGCAGCGCTCATCTCACTTTATTGGCCAAAGGAGCCGGCGTACAGCTTCCAAGTCATGTGGCCAGATTGACTAAGCTGCTTCTGGTAAACCAGAGCAGCACACGGAAACACTGTTTACCTTCCCGTCGGAGTGGTACCTATTTATCTACTTGCACTTTGAAGTGCTTTTGAACTGCTAGGTTGGCAGGAGCAGGGACCGAGCTCACCCCATTGTGGGGATTCAGACCACCGACCTTCTGATCGGCAAGTCCTAGGCTCTGTGGTTTAACCCACAGCGCCACCTTCATATCACACTACTGGGGAAAATATCACCAGCAGCAGATATATGCCTGCAGAACTCTTTGCAGTATATGCAAAGAGCCTACAGAGAGTCACGTCAGCAGCTCTCCATGATGTTACTCTGTTACTCTGGAATTAATCCATTATCTTTGACCCATGAATCAGACTATTCATGCCCATCTTGACCTCAGCTGCACATAAAATTTGTGAGGTTAACTTATGTGATGCTCAGTAAAGATCACTTAACCAAAGACTCGAAGTTTAAGTTTGCGTTTCCAATTGTTCAGGCACTGAACAACACCTTTATCGGAAAGGGAAATAAAATATGTACATCAATGATGGATTATGAATGAAAGTTCTGGTTTCTGTCCATTACAGTATCCCTTAAATTAAATTAAGGACCACAAACATTTTTTGAGAGAGTTCTGCTAAGAGACTGCTAGGTCTCTGGAACCAGATACTGTGTGTTACTTTGGATTATCCATTGCAGGTTTTGAAGTTCACCAACCTGATGGACTCCAAAGTTTTGTTGGACTCCAAATCCCATCATCCTTGACCCCTGGCCATGTTGGCTAGGGCTGATAGGAGTTGTAATCCAACATTTGGAGGGCAGTGGGTTGGAGAATGCTGCTGTATACAAATTGTTAATTCACTATGAGTGTGTATCCTTATGTAGAAAAACAAAACAGCACCATCCATGTACAAAATGGAGGTAGCAGCAGGCTTTGGGAAACCTTCAGGTTTGCAGAAGGACAACTGAAAAACAGGGGGTGAGGGAGAGTTGCTAAATCCATGAATTCTGCAGATTATAATGAGCACAGGAAGCTCTGTAGGATCAGGGCCCAGCCCAAAGCTGAGGGATCTTTGGTCCTCCAAGTGTTGTTGAACTTTACCTCTCATCATCATCAATGGTAAAGAAGGATGGGAGTTGTGATTCAACAATATTTGGAGGATATCCATCAGGGAGCCCAGCCTTGGCCTAACCAATTAACTTCATAAAATGTCGCATTACAATACGGCAATGAGTGAATGGTTGTCTCCACAATATTTAAATGAACGAGCAGCTTCTGTTTCCACACAGCTGTGTGTTCACATTAGAAGCCATCTGTTTTTCTGTCTGAGAGCACTCCAGGGGCCAATAACCCTACCAGTGTAAAAACATAACCCATCTTATTTCATTTTTCTTACCAAATCTTGTGTCTTGTTTGAAGTTATGACATGGGGACTGTCCCTTCACCCAAAACATAACAGTTGCCTAATCCTTATGGCAGAACATTAGTGCTATATTTAAAGTGTTCATCGTTGTTAGTAACATTCATATTCTAAGTTTCTTGCTAGAAGCCTTGGTTGCTTTGACTTTAAGCACAGAGTCGCCCCCCATTTGCTGAGCAAAATAATATACAAGCAAACATAACACTCTTGTGAAATGGGGAAAATCAAACACTATATCTGCTAATTTTCCACATGCCAACCATTTGAGGACTCTAGGCTCTGGAAAGTACTCACCTTTGAAGGTCGCCTTGCTGTATAAATGGCCACAGACTCAATTCCTTGTTGCTGCAAAGACTTAGTATACTCTCCAATTATTTTGTCTGTAGACATAAAATTTATTATAACTGCTTAACAATGTCATTAAGTTCACCCAAAATTGCTACGATATCTTGGAAGGCAACAATACTCAGGCAGTAAAGATGTGTCCGTGCTCATTTATATTGAAATATTAACCGTTAAACAATGTACTTGACAAATTACAAAAGCAAAGTAAGACATCTAAGTTTCCCCGATCAAAACAATGTTTCAGAAAAGGTCCAGAGGTTTAGTAACTATTGAAAGTGATTAAAAAGTAAGTTGAAGTGAGGGAAAGATTAGATTAAGTAGGCAGACCACCAGCACTGCCCAAATACTATTCAGGCAGCTCAATTTTTGCTAAGATATGAATTTGGTTGATATGTGAACTTTGGTTGACATGTGAAAATTCCTTTACAATAAGAGGAGATCTGTATTCCTCCATATGTTGCCCTCCATATGTTGTTGGTCTACAACTTCTGACATCACTGACCATTGACCATGAATTTGGGGAAACTGTGATGTTTCATGCCTTGAGTTCTATGATGGAGATATTGCTGTACTAATTAATTAAATAAAAGTACAATTGCTTATTATTGAACTCAACTGGCCAATGACCCCAAGAAGAACTTAGTGGATTTTTATAAGAACCATGGTATCCAAGGACACATCATAGCTGTCAACTTTTTGCCTTTTCTTGCAAGGAATCCTATTCGGAATAAGGGAATTTCCCTTTAAAAAAGGGAAACGTTGACCGCTATGGGACACATATCCACAGAGTAGGTGCGGATCACAGTGGATCCACTGCAACTAGATCTCTGTTCACTTTGTATACGTTATTCCTTCTCTAGCAAGGGAATATGCATGGAAGCCTCTTTCCCCTCTGAATGCTGATCTTTCATGCTTAATTGTTAATAACAACCTGGATCACTTGTGGATTGTTTCACTTACCATTTTCCAGGAGCTGCTTTTGAGTGGATAGGTCATTCGTCCTAAATGGGAAACATAGAAAGAAAGAAAATGAAAATGTTGGAAGGGGAAGAATACTGACATGGCCTACCACTTGCAGTTGAAACAACACTACTATTGTGACTTTATTGAAAATGAAAACACAGGAAAGAAAAAAGAACAGCACAGAAATATAACAACCAAACAACTTAGCTCTGGGATTTTTTAAATTTTATTTTAAGGATTTTAGAAGAAGAGTTTGGATTTTATATCCTGCTTTATCACTACCCGAAGGAGTCTCAAAGCGGCTAACATTCTCCTTTCCCTTCCTCCCCCACAACAAACACTCTGTGAGGTGAGTGGGGCTGAGAGATTTCAGAGAAGTGTGACTGGCCCAAGGTCACCCAGCAGCAGCATGTGGAGGGGTGGGGAAGCGAACCCAGTTCACCAGATTATGAGTCTACCGCTCTTAACCACTACACCACACTGACTCTTTAGCTTTGCTAGACAGGGCATGTTCCAAACTGAATCATTCAGGGGACTCAGTAAGGGAACAGTATTCCAGAAAGGGGCGGGGGGAGCCTGCAAAATCAGATCACATATAGAATGCAAGGATAACTCCAGAGCTGGAAATCTAATCTTCAATCAGCAGTTTAATTTAATTCCGAAAGATGCCAGTTGTCTTGGGTAGAGATTGCAAAATGGAGAATACAAAATGGGAATTGGACAGCGGCATGAGATAAAGTGTTAATGACCCCTGCCCCCCAACATCAGGGTCCCAAGGCTATGTAGTGAGGGGAGGGGGTTATCCAGATTGGGACCATGGCATTGGGAAGAGCGGCTAACCTTTTCCTCATGCCACATTGTGACATAGAAGAACTATGAAAGGCATGCTCCTCAACTGTCGCACTTTGACATCCTGGAATTACAGAAGCCAGGATGGCTTCTGATTGGATGCTGGGATGTCTTGTTTTGTCTCCTGTTAAAGCACAGCTCTCCAAGATGCCTGTTTTGGGGTCTGGAGCGTGCTCTCACACAAGTCACCTGGCTCCCGCGAAAACTCAGCCCCGAAATGTGAGCAATTGGGGGAGGTGCATTCTCAAAAAATCACAACTTACACAGGAGCACGGCCCCCAAAAAGGCGCATCCTGATTTTCCTTTGTTTTATGTTTGGTTGGAGGGTATGGAAAGGGATAACAAAAAATGGCAATTTTGGCAACATATGGCTTCCCTTTTTTGCATATGTTAATAAGGGGGGTCTTTTTCTCCCCCCTTATCTCAATAAAGCCTATGGAGAGGATATGTACATTGATAACTCTTATGAATAACATATTGTAGAAAGAGTTGCAAAACCCATAAATTATATAAACTGGATGTAAATGTGTATACCAGCTTTCTTGTTTTTGATGAAATGGTTGCCTTGCAATTTTTGTTTTATTGTTTAAAAATTTAATAAAACTTTCCATGGGGAAAAACAATGAATGTGTTGTGTTTAGGCTGGCCCCTTAAAACTTAGATTTGTTATTAACAATGATTGCCTTCCTAAGAGATCTAATGTTTTCAGAGTAATTTGCTGTTGAGTAAGGAAAAGCTGATTAAAAAAACAAATCCAACGATGGGTAAACTGACAGAAGAACAAGCTGGTATTGGATAAGACAGATAATCAGATCCTTGTCAGACTCAATAATTTATGCCTCCACTGAATGACTTTACGTAATGTGACTATTGACAACACCTATAGGACAGCCTATAATGAGAGATCATGTTTGAAGAGCAAGACAGAGATGCAGAAATGTCTGTATTAGATTAACAAGTCCATTGAGGGTAGTCCTACAGAGCCATTCAATGCAATCTAGGTATCTTGCATAATACGTAATTTTAGTTTATCTAGTCCAAGAAAAATAGGGGCCATGAAGTCGCCCTTGAACAGATAGGTGCAGGGGCATAGCAAGGGGGTGCAGTAGGTGCGGTCTGCCCCGGGTGTCACCACTGAGGGGGGTGACAAAATGGCGGGCGGCATTCTCCAGTGCCCACAGGCTCTATGTCAGGGCGTGGGCAGGAGCCAGGCCCTGTGACCAGTAGGGCTTCACAGGACTAGGGCTTTCCTAAGTTTGTTCTCAAGAGGCAAGGTGCAGCTGCACAGGTGAGGCCGATTGGTAACTCACAGCACCTGGTGGCAAGAGCCGAGAAGGCATATAAGGTCAGCATTTCCCTTTGGCTCTTTGCCACAAAAACACGCTTCCTGCCTTGCTGCGTTTCGCTTCTTGACTCCTTGCTTCCTGATCCTCAGACCCTTGGCTTCTTGACTCCTGGTTTCCTGATCCTCAGACCTTTGGCTTCTTGATTCCCGGCTCTTTGACCTTTGGCTTTCGGACTCCTGTTACTGTTCCCACCCCGCCATCTTGCCCCCGGTCCGGACGTCCTCCGCCAGGACTTTGACCGCCTGTAAACTGGACCGTGACACTCTGTGCTGTCCACCCACTGCCTCTTACCCCCAGATGTAGGACAGCTGAGGCCCCATGGCATGCCGTGTCCCTATGGGCACCGCACCCCCGTCCCATCCCATCCCTATGGGTGCCGTGTGCCCCGTACATCCCTATGGGTGCTGCCCATCCTGTCCCTCCCTATGGGAGGGAGCCAGTGTGCTGTAGTGGTTAAGAGTAGTAGAGTCGTAACCTGGTGAACCGGGTTCGCGTCTCCGCTCCTCCACATGCAGCTGCTGGGTGACCTTGGGCTAGTCACACTTCTTTGAAGTCTCTCAGCCTCACTCACCTCACAGAGTGTTTGTTGTGGGGGAGGAAGGGAAAGGAGAATGTTAGCCGCTTTGAGACTCCTTCGGGTAGTGATAAAGCGGGATATCAAATCCAAATTCTTCTTCTTCTTCTTCTTCTTCTTCTTCTTCTTCTTCTTCTTCTTCTTCTTCTTCGGGTGCCATGCGCGCCGTCCTTATGGGCAGTTCACCCCGCCCCTATGGGTGGTTTGCCCTTCTCCTGAGCACACCACCCCAGGTGCCTGAGAGGCTTCCTCCGCCCCTGGGTAGGTGTGCTGTTGATTCGTAACCTCAAGGCTCCTGCTGCTCTCCTGTCTTATAATTCTCTACATTTAAACCATATTTGGACTTTAGATAGAGGACCGCATTTCCCAACAACTCTTGCAATGGAAATGCTGTCCTCTGTAAAGGAGACAGGCACCAACATGCCTCCCCACATGCCACCAAAACTACATGAGTTGTTCCAAAAGGGACAATGCAACTATCCCCAAGCATACCTCCGAAACTAGCCAGGTCTAGCCAAGCTGCTTGGGGAAGCAAAACTGCCAAACTTTAGCCAAGTTGACCTCATGCTAAAGATTGTGCCACCAGAGGTTGTGCCACCAGAGGTGAGGATCCTGTGCTGTGCACTCACAGGATGTTGTTGAATTCCAGCACGCATGTTAGATACACATGTGTCTCTGGAGGAAACCGGCTGTATGGTATCTGCGTGTCGTGTGCATTGGGATATACTAGAGGGCAATACCTGTGGAATTGCTTGCATAGGTGAGGTTTTTAAGCGATTGCTTTGCACTGTGAGGTGGTGCATTTGGATAAAAATCACAAGAAGCACTCTCAAACCATTCAGAGTTGTGTATATGCGTGCATACATGCATGCATGTGTGTGTGAATTCTCAGGAGTCATTCCAAAAAGCCTTCTAAGAAAATGTGAGACATGAAATTGTCTTCTGAATATGGTGCTACATGATAAGGAAATAATTTTATCCGCCGGTTGGAGTGCATTCATTTTTCTGTGGTTGTCCCAGAGGATAAAATATTCAGAAGGCAGGTTCACCATATTACTATGAAGGTGAAAAATCGCTCTATGCTAACTTTTAACATACAACAAATGATGGCGTAAATCAGGTGAACAGAACTTAGGAGATTACGAATAATGAAAGAGACACAGCACATCTAAAACATTTTTATTATATCAATATCTTTTTTTCTGTTTACTCAGATGATACTGGATTTCGCAGAATTGTTCAGGGTTCCTTTTTTTTAAAAAAATAAATCCATTTATCATTTACAAATATGTCACCTATTTTATTTTTGCCTGTTTCTTGTGTCGGGCAATAGGAGTCAAGATGAATGACTCGCCTCCCAGCTTTATTCAAATGATGCACTTGGAAAATTTAATAATATGGAATGTGTTTGGCATGTTGTTTTTCCTAACATTGTTCCTCAGTGTAAGGGGTTCTTCCCCTTAGGGAAAGGCCCATAGATCAATCATAGCACATAAATTTTGCATGTGGAAGGACTCAGGTTCAATACCCGTCATCTCCAGGAAGCTTGGAAAGATGATTCTCAAAGGTCATGTCCACACCATAAATTCATAACACAGACTGGAGGAGCCTGTGACTCTCTGGAACTTGTTGGACTATGGTTCCCAAAATCCTTGATCAGCTTTCTTCTACTTGTAGTCCAGGTGTTTTGGACTACACCTCTAAACAGCCCCTGGCAGCATGGCCAATGGTCAAGAATGATGGGAGTTGTCTGGCTCAGAGGTCACGCTGGCTGATGGGAGTTGGAAGTTGAAATCAAACTTCACCTGAAGGGCTACAGGTTCTCCACCCCGGGCTATAGAAACCAGAGTGCCTTGGCATTAATTAAAGAAGTGATAACATAATGTGCGGCAGTCTTGGACTTTTGGAACATCATAGGAGGCAGTATCTGGTGGTCAAAACCTTTCATCATCATAACAACTATTTATTATTATTATTATTATTATTATTATTATTATTATTATTATTTGTACCTTCCCACCTGGCTGGATTGCCGCAGATGCTCTGGGGGGCTTCCAACATATATAAAAACATAGTAAAACATTACATATTTAAAAACTTCCCTATACAGATAATAATAATAATAATAATAATAATAATAATAATAATAATAATAATAATAATAAAATTTATTATTCATACCCCACCCATCTGGCTGGGTTTCCCCAACCACTCTAGGTGGCTTCCAACAAAAGAGTAAAAATACATTAAAACATCAATCATTAAAAACTTCCCTATGCCTTCATATGTCTTCTGAACATCAGATAGTTGTTAATTTATTTGACATTTGATGGGAGGGCGTTCCACAGGGCTGGCACCACTACCGAGAAGGTCCCCTGCCTTGTTCCCTGTAACTTTGCTTCTCGCAGTGAGGGAACCACAGAAGGCCCTCAGCGCTGAACCTCAAGTGTCTGGGTTGAACTATGGGGGTGGAGACACTCCTTCAGGTATACTGGGCTTTTAGATGTCTTCTAAAGGTTGTATAGTTACTCATCTCCTTGACATCTGATGGGAGGGTGTTCCACAGGGCGGGTGTCACTACCGAGAAGACTCTCTGCCTGGTTCCCTGTCTTTCTTCTTCTTTGGCGATCACTCATCGCCAAGTATGATTGTCTTCTATGAACACGATCTTAACAGTGATTCCATAAGTGACTGTGGAGGCCAATTCTGGATCCACATGTCCTTCCACAGTGGGGACATAGGTTTCCGGGCAGGAGTTGATCATGGTGAGGGTTTGCCAAATGTGCGTTCCTCTAAGCTCATTTCTCCCTTTCGTCCTGAGTTGAAGTGTCTTCAAAGCCCATGACACCTTTGGTAAAGGCTGTTCTCCAATTGGAATGCTCACTTCTGGTTCCCTGTAGCTTCTCTTCTCTACCATGAGGGAACCACCAGAAGACCCTTGGAGCTGGATCTCAGCATCCAGGCTGAACAATAGGGGGCAGAGATGCTGTATCTATGAGCTGTATCCAATGCAAGTCCTACACAGAAAACGCCTATAGATGTGACTAACTTAGTTTCATTCATTTCAGTGAGTCTGCTACATGTATGATTCTTACATAAGACCTGCGTAAAAAGCCACAAGAGTTTTGTACATGCATGCAAGAGTGCTGTGAACTTCCTGAGATTTCTGGATGAAGGGTCGTGTGGGGATGGCAGATGCAGCATGGGGGCATACCCCCACCTGAGCATAAGACATGCCACAGCGTGTCTAGCCGCCATGCCCAGTCTCTGCCCTTGGCCTCCCTCGCAGGAAGCTTTGCTTAATGTTCCACTTGGCTGGAGCATGACGAGTGAAGAAGAAGAAGAAAAAGAAGAAGAAGAGTTTGGATTTGATATCCCGCTTTATCACTACCCGAAGGAGTCTCAAAGCGGCTAACATTCTCCTTTCCCTCCCCCCCCCCCACAACAAACACTCTGTGAGGTGAGTGGGGATGAGAGACTTCAGAGAAGTATGACTAGCCCAAGGTCACCCAGCAGCTGCATGTGGAGGAGCGGAGACACGAACCCGGTTCACCAGATTACGAGTCTACCGCTCTTAACCACTACACCAAACTGGCTGAAGGCAGCCGTTATCAAGTATCAGGGGAACATTTGGGGGAAGGACCTGGTTTGACATGTCAATTGCTAACGCTGGAAATGTGCCTTGCTGGAAATTTGTTAAGTTCAGAGTGGTTTCACTACTGTTTCCAACTTTTGATTTCTGCTAATAAAAAGAGGCTCTGCAAAGCTAGCCGGCAGCTTGCATGCTCCTGCACAGGTCACATGCATTCAACTCCCATGTCATCCATCCTTATTTCCACAGGTGGCATACAAATTTAATAAATAATAATAATAATAGCCTTTACAGCACCTCATACCTGCTGGTCAGTGGTAGCTTTATCACGAACATATTGGGTTTGGATCCATTAACCATCAGCTGGGAAGTTTCTTTGCCGTTTACATTTACCAAGGCCCAGTTCAACGTTTCTTGGAGGTACACTGAAAGGTGACTCACGGCATGGCAGTCCACAGCTGGCAAGACTAAAGAAGATGATGAAGTCCTCAGAAGTTCCTGTAGTAAGCACAAAGAACAGTTAATTATGAATTGGATGATTAAAGCAGGAATGATTGCTTTCTTTTTCTTTTTTACTCTGATAGGCTTGATTACAGTCTTTTAGAGCCTCCATTATGCAAAATAAACTCTGTTATCCTCAACAAGAATTTGACATGCAATTTCATTATATAAACAACCCGATAATCATCATCATCATCAAGCTGAACAAAAAAAAATGTTCAAGTGTTCACAATTTTCTGAATGTTTTTATTTGCGGGGGGAGGTTAATTAATCTCTGTGTGTACATGTGAAAATTGGCTGTTTTGCAAGCAGTTTATAGGTTGATGAAAAAGTCAACCTTGTGTTTAAAATAGCGTTCGTGTGTGTGTGTGTGTGTGTGTGTGAACTACGAATGGTCCTGTCCTATGATGTGGCATACTAGCAGTTTTAAGGAAGCCTCACAAAGCCACTTCCGAGCTGGAGAGGAGGTGGGGTTGCGAGCTCCACGCCCTCCCCACGTGTGCGGGGGCTGAATCACAGCCCCCGCGAGACTGGGGGAATCCTCAGACGCGTCATCTCCCTGGCCAGCCAATCGGCCCGGGCTATTTAGGGCCAGCGCAGCCGAGGATTTCCCTCTCTTCTTCGCTCCAGCTGCTCCGGTTTCCCAACCCGCCTGCCCTTAGGTTTGGCTCTCTGACATTGCTATGGACTTCAGTTGGTCGCCGTCGAGGGGCCTGGTAGGAATTTTTTCCACTTGGCAAATTGGCACCAGCCATTTGGTTTTTCACCTACCTCGTAGCAAATCGTCACAACTTCCTCGGCATTGGTGGTTAGGCATTGGTAAGGGTATTGTTATGCAGATGAGGGGGGGGAGGAAGCACCATCACCTTCCCCCAAATCAAAGGGTAGTCCGGTAAAGGATTCTGGGGGGCGTTGCCCTGTCCGAAGCCTATGGAGGTGTGGGCCTAAGGCATGCCCCGGAGCAGTGACCCTGAGGGAGCTCCTAGTTGATGTACATCAGCAGGACTCCCCCTGCTGGCGGTTAACCCATGCAATCAGGCTGAAGCCGGTTAGTCGATAGAACCAATGCCTAAGCCAATACCGCTCAATTCCTGCAATCAATAAAGTTGTGGCCTTTTTTCGCCCATTAACTTAAATGCTGTGTCTTGTGTCTTTATTTTCCAGGGGGGGGGTACTTGCCACGCAATTCTCTCACGATGATTATTACAGTCGTCAGGCAGTGAAGTGACCTGCGGTTCAGGTGATAACACAGATCTCCACATCTCTCTGGCCCAGGTCCTATTTTACTGTATTTAAAGCCTCGTGCTTCATGATGCAATTGTATGCACTTGCAAAATGCACAGACTACTTTTTCCACATTTACAAGGAACACAAGACCTCTGAGACATTTATCGCAGCTGATCTTCTTACAGAGGAAGAAGCCACAATTGCTGAATAGCTCACTTGGTAGAGCATGAGACTCTTAATCTCACGGCCATGGGTTCAATCCCCATGTTGGGTGAAAGGTTCTTGCACTGCAGGGCATTGTGGTCCCGTTTAACTCTACAATCCTATGATTCTACAACAGCAAAGTCCTTTCCTTTCTAATCTGCTCCCCACTGTACAACTGATGGCCAGGAGCGGATCCATACATCCCTAAGAAATCTGGCTGTGGCTTGGGGTTCCCCATTCCTGACTATAAGTATTTTAGTTACAGTACATTGTTCATTTCCCAAAACACAGACTCATTAGTACTCTTTGTTAAAAGGAGATCAAAGAGCCATCTGTTTCCTCTCAGGTAATGGCTATGTGAGCATCATCAAATCAATGGATAATTAGCATCACTACATTCCTTAAAGCATTTAGATTGCTTATCATCCAGGTTTGTTTGTTTTTTAACATATGCCCTATTGCTGGAATGAGAATTCTTCTACCAATCATTCATTTAACTCCAGTGGAATCGTAGGTATTCAACTCAGAGTAAATTCATTCATTTCAATGGGTCTACCGTGAGTAAAATTAAGTTGAATACCTTTGGTTATCACCTATAATTTAGTTCACAAAATATTCCCCTGAACCTGACAGAATCTCCTTAACTGAACCACCCCTCAGAAGCTGAGAAACTCCCACATTGCCAAAAATCCACGCACAGAAGAAACAGCAAGTCTTGGGTAACTTCAAACACTTTCCTGAAAATTTCAGGTGCTTAAGTTTATTTTATGACTATTGCTTTCTCGAGCTGGAAAGAGCCTTCAGCCTGTTACCAGAATTGCAATGTCTCTGTCATTCCTTTCAGGCGTCGTTTTGTTTTGCTTTTGAAAACTGCTGGGAGACGCCATATGAGATAGTTATGCTTGCCTGAACATTGCGAAACGGTGTCTCATTTCCAGAGGAGCCGGCGTAACGTGTGAAGTCATCCACACTAAGCTGAAAAACAATAAAAAGATAGCATAGGTCGCTGAGGGGGACATCTCGGCTCATTAGACACAAGCTGCACTCCTTGGCTATGAGACAAGACAAATTGAAGACACCTACCACATCTTGAAGAAACAAGGCGACGTTTCTGGGGTCTGGAGAAGCCAGAGCTTGCTTCAGCAATGCGTGCAGCTCATGCTTTGAGATAACATGCCCTTCATGTAAAGTGGATGCCAAGCCTTGGAAGGATCTGAAAGAAATTAATTTTCAAAGGGCTGTTTACTTTTCTTTTAACGGGATCGAAAATTTCGCACAGCAGTTTGTACGTGTGTGTGATGTTTCTGAAGTGCGTGTGTATGTATTCCTTTTCATAAAAGAGAGAGCGGTGCAGATGCTTGCATGTTGATAAATTAGAAAATGGCTTTCTTACCGCTGCCCCTTCCGCTTCTCTACTGAATTCTACACAATAAAAATATTATTTACAACATTTTAGAGATGATGTTTATCACTTTGAACTATAAAGACTTAAAAATTAAGACCGGTGCCAAGGGTCCCAGTCACAAAATGGCCACCGTGAGGTGTGTGGCCTAGTACACAATGTCTGTCACAGGGGTAGAGCATTGCACAAAATGAGAGAGTAATTGGTGCTTGCCACAGCTCCGCTACCATGGGAAGTCAGTACTATGTCCTGTGAGCCTTCACAATCACAAAATACTGATGCTGTTGTCACCTATTCACAACAGGGAGCATTTCCTGGTACCAAAGAAAATATACAAGATGGCCAACCATCTTGGACTACTGAAATGCGCTCTGCGTGGGGCTACCTTTGAAGGTGACCCGGAAACTACAATTAATCCAGAATGCGGCAGCTAGACTGATGACTGGGAGTGGCCGCCAAGATCACATAACATTGGTCCTGAAAGACCTACATTGGCTCCCAGTACATTTCCAAGCACAATTCAAAGTGTTGGTGCTGACCTTTAAAGCCCTAAATGGCCTCGGTCCAGTATACCTGAAGGAGTGTCTCCACCCTCATTGTTCAGCTCAGACACTGAGGTCCAGCTCCGAGGGCCTTCTGGCAGTTCCCTCCCTGAGAGAAGTGGAGTTACAGGGAACCAGGCAGAGGGCCTTCTCGGTAGTGGCGCCTGCCCTGTGGAACACCCTCCCATCAGATGTCAAGGAAATAAACAACTATCTGACTTTTAGAAGACATCTGAATGCAACCCTGTTTCTGGAAGTTTTTAATGTTTGATGTTTTATCGTGTTTTTAATATTCTGTTGGGAGCCACTCAGGGATACCCAGCCAGATGGGTGGGGTATAAATAATAAATTATTATTCTTATATTTAATAATGATGATGATGATGATGATGAATAATAATAATAATAATAATAATAATAATAATAATAATAATAATAATGTATGCCTACAGCCACAGATCTCAAGGCAGTTCACAAGGTTGGTGCTTTCCAAATAGAGCATGAACTGAATGCGGAAAACCACCTACCATGTTAAATTTCCCACAATTCTCAGGAGCACCCAGCATAACCCAGATGGGTGGGATATAAATAAATAAATAAATAAATTATTATTATTATTATTATTATTATTATTATTATTATTATTATTATTATTTCCACACACTCCCCTGCACACACAGAGAGCACACACATGCACTTGTGCGCAATCACACAATCCATGTCTCCATCTCTGCTCAGGAATGTCTCTCCCTCTCTCACACACAGCATGCAACTTTAAAGTAGGCTAGTTTTGTGGCAGGATCCATGAAAACAAATGCATAAGCTGAGAACTATTTATATATTTGAAAAACTAATATTAAAAAAACATGAATGCATATAATTTTGTAAATCTTCTTTTGATTCTGTTGATGAAATGATTTCCAGCCATTTAATGTGAGGGTGCAAGGGGAGTTATGTAACACAATGTGAAGCTCTTTTCTCATGAGCTGCTTCCATAAGCATTTTAAAACATATTCCATTTACTGTCTGCAAATTCATTTGTGTTTTGAAGGTGACATTAAATAGGCACATACATAGCCCATGAGATTAGAAATTACTTCAGAGCTATGTCTAGAACTTGCAGACAAAGAAACATCTACTACACAGTGTTCAGAGCAGAAGATATAAATAAACCTGTAAAATCTCACCAGAGAAAGCCATCAGAATTCTGAATTGTTTGCTCTCTGTTCTTAACGGAAGAAACAGTTGAACATTATGCAACTGGTATTGCAAAGCACATTTTGCTTAATCAATGTACAAACCATATATTAGCTTTATTTGCATAAGGATGACCCCCAGTGCACAGGAGAGTCAGGAGAAAATACACCAGGGCTTTGCTAGCAGAGAGCTATTGTGAGGATTCCCAGGTAAGATCCTCCCTCTATTGTGTGGGCAGGTAATCCCTCCCCTACCTGGCCTGGTCTCCTTGGCAACGCTTCCCCCAGGTGGGATTGGACAACTGACTGAGGTAGGTGGAGACCTCCAGGTATCCCACCTGAGGGAAGGCAAAGCCAAGCCTATGCTGATGGGGCCGCTCCAGATCCAGGGCTGCGCGCGTCCACGCAAAGGTCGCCCCCCGTTTTAAGCGGGGAGCGGTCATTGTGCATTGTTCCTGATCTGTCATTTCGAGGATGAAGGAAAACATTCCTTCATTGCACTCTTGAGGCAGCTTCAGATAGTTAAGTGACTGGTTACAGAGGAAAATGCAAGGAATCTCTATGATGATGGTGATTTATTAAATTTGTATACCGCCCTGTACCCAAAGGTGTCAGGGCAGTTCACAGGATAAAATCAGAACATGAAACCACAAAATGCATAATCTAAACAACAACGAAAAACAACCCAATAAAACACACACAAACACACACACACATTTTAAAAGGGCATAGGATGTCAAACAAACAAAGGTCTGGTTAAAAAGGAACATTTTTGCCTGGTGCCTGGTGAACCTCCCTGGGGAGACCATTCCACAGAAGGGGAGCCATTGAAGAAAAGGCCCGTTCTTGTGTTGCCACCCTCTGGATAAGATGCTTGTAGACCCCAGCCAGCAGGTGGTGGCAAGAGCTGGTGGGAATTGTAGTCCAAAGCATGTGGACGATACCAGGTTGACAAAGGCTAGGTTAATCTCTTGATCTTTGAAGCAAATCTGAGACTGAAGCAAGCTGATTTTTAAAATTAAGCTTTGTATAAAATGAAAGCCCAGAGAGCAATAACAACATATAACAAAACAAAACAGGTGCTCCTGTGGCTGCACCATTATTTCTGTGTATTAGAAATGTAAGTTTGGTTAATATATTCTTGTTTTAAAGGTAAAGGTAAAGGTACCCCTGCCCGTACGGGCCAGTCTTGCCAGACTCTAGGGTTGTGCGCTCATCTCACTCTATAGGCTGGGAGACAGCACTGTCCGCAGACACTTCTGGGTCACGTGGCCAGTGTGACAAGCTGCATCTGGCGAGCCAGCGCAGCACACGGAACGCCGTTTACCTTCCCGCTAGTAAGCGGTCCCTATTTATCTACTTGCACCCGGGAGTGCTTTCGAACTGCTAGGTTGGCAGGCGCTGGGACCAAGCAACGGGAGCGCACCCCGCCGCGGGGATTCGAACCGCCGACCATGCGATCGGCAAGTCCTAGGCGCTGAGGTTTTACCCATAGCGCCACCCGCGTCCCATTCTTGTTTTAACTCAGTCCCAAAAGAAGTTGATGGCTGACATTCAGTTGTCCCATCATCCTTACATGTGGTGAATGGGAACAGTTTAGCCATGAACTGATTTCTCTTCAGTTTAGCCATGAACTGATTTCTCTTCATTAACCTTCTGATCAAACTACCAAATGATGTTAATTTTTCAGCTAGTACAATCTGCCAAGCCCTGCTGATCTCACCATTTACTAAGCAGCCAGATGCTGACTTTGGGTTCTCTAACTATTGCATGGTGCCAGTGGAGGCTCCACCCCCAACTAAAATAGCAGCTTTGGGGTGTGTTTGCACACAATTTGGGGGGGGGGAGCTGCAACAGGGGCGAAAGAGTCAAACTTTCTCTCTCAACTCACTACAGTTATAACACAGTCTGGTCTCCTCAGCATATAGAATCATGGCACACACAAAGTGAAACATGGACCACTTATAAATGCCATCTCCAACTCCTTGAAAGATTCCAACAACAGTGTCTCCAAAAAAAATAATTCCACATCACTTGGGAAGACAGGCAAACAAATGCCAGTGTACTGGAAGAAGCAAAGATCACCAGTGTCAAAGCAATGATTCTTCAACATCAACTTCGTTGGACGGTTGCGTGGTTGCCTGCTTATTGTCTTCCAAAGCAACTACTTTATTCCGAACTTAAAAATGGAAAGCGTAATGCTGGTGGTCAACAAAAGAGGTTTAAAGACTCTCTCAAGGAAAATCTAAAAAAATGTAGTATAAACACCAACAACTGAGAAACACTGGCCTGCGAGTGCTGCAATTAGAGAACAGCCTTTATCAAAGGTGTCATGGGCATTGAAGACGCTCAAACTCAGGACAAAAGGAAGCAATGTGCTAAGAGGAAGGCACGTTCGGCAAACCCACACTGTGATCAACTCCCGCCCGGAAACCTATGTCCCCACTGTGGAAGGACGTGTGGATTCAGAATTGGCCTCCATAGTCACTTATAGACTCACTGTTAAAACCGTGTCCATGGAAGACAATCTTACGTGGCTACGAGTAATCATCAAAGAAGAAAAAGAAGCATACAGAAGCATGGCACACACAAAGTCCTCTTCCTGTTATTCACAGACACCACTGAATGTCAACACACTTGGGCTCATTTTGGAAATAATCCTCTTTACAATCCATTCAGCTTTCACATCTGTGCTTGCTCACATAAAGCCTTTGGGTTTTAATAGTTTGCTGTTTTCCGGGGCTGGAGGAAGAAGCAGCCATGGCCTTCACTCAAAAATGGACTGGATAATAGACTTCCTTCAATATATCAATGCAGTTCTGTTGTACATGGCCCATTGGATTTTTGGTGGAAATGGTCACACCTAGGAAACTGACTCAGTACTTTAAAGAAAAAAGAAAGAAGAATTGATTCTCCATGCATTGTTCCCGGAAGAATTCAGCACATGAGCGGTCAAAGAGAGAAGAGGGAGAAGACTAGGAAGAGGAGGTGTTGGAAGCTTGAAGGGGTAACGGGGCTTAGTGAGCTGGGAGAGCCTGTGGCAGAGAAGTTCAGAATCAGAGGCAGAAGCTGAA